GGAATTGACGGCATTCGGAATTGACTTCATAAATCTGTCGATAATGTTGGCGTAAAAATTGTCCGTATAGCGAGGGGCTACACGTAAAAAGCGAAGTACGACGAGGTGTGGAAAGTCGATAAAAATTTGATCGACATCCTTACGGTCTGCTTACGGCACTATCATCTTCATAGCATCCTTTATTTCGCACTCACGAGTGCGCGCGAGTATCTGAAAACCGACGCTTTTTGGCCCGCGGCGACACTTCAACATCAGAAAAATGTGATTTTATCTCGAACGCGGGAAACGTCTAAGATGATAATGAAGACATTCTGGAAATTTAATTTCGCAACTCGAGAATCTCTCTCTGCGAGATCTCCCACGTCAGATAATCCCGTAATCACAATCCCCTTTAAATTTTCACGAAAAAAAGGATCTTCAAGAATTCACCAATCATAAATCAATCCGTGCGAAATTATCGGTCGGTCCGTCGAATTTACCGTCAAACTTGCTCGACTTAGAGTCGTTTGCGGGATTTGCGATCGCATTTCGCACGACGAATTTTGATCCCTCAAGGTACGTGCATGTCCACCGCGCGCCACGTGACATGTGTGCCACGAAATCGCGATTCTCTCTCTCTCTCTCACACACATATACACACACATACACTTCCTCTCGCCCTCGTATTATGCAAATCCGACGCGGCGAGCGCGATCACGGACCTTTGGCCGAAGGATGCACTACAGTCGGGCGATGTCACGGCTTAGAACGATTCTGTATGAGCTGCCGCGAGGTCACTTCGGGGACGGCGTAAATCCCCGAATAGTGATTGGCAAGTTCCCGACGACCCCGTGGGATATATCATCAGGAGCAGACGGTCACGATTGCGACAGCTTCAGCCTGGGGAGTCCTTCGCGACTACTTATTGTGAATAACGATTTCTCGCGAATCTTCGTCCGCCTCGCTGTCCTCTGGAATCTCCGAGTTTTATAAATTCGCTCGCGTGATCCGATCAACTTCAAAATTCGCCTCGCGTACGTGGAGAAATCGCGAGGATCGCGGGGACTTACTAATCCGCATTTTCATGTGTAATCTCTTCAGCATGACTAGAAAGATAGGAATGTTGAAGCATCCCTACGTTTCACTTTCAGTTAAGGCGATTATCCTCGACGCGATTCCACCCGACTACATCTTGCTCCTTTTGATATCCCATTCTTCGTTCCGACAGATAAGAATAACGAGAGAAAGAGGGAAAGAGGAGGACGTTTCTTGGTGCGTGTAAGAATCTCGTGCGATCATCAGTTATTGTTCCGCGGATAAGATTGTGGGAAGAAATATTGCGTCGGAACGGTGTAACGAGCAACTGACAACCTTCTATCTTGAAAGAACATGTGTGTGCGTGTGTGCGCACACGCAGTCCATTTTCCACGACGGAGTGTGCGCCAACGCGGTCGCGAAGAATATAATGGGAGATTTTATCAAGTAAGATAATCGAGTAACACGATCAATTTGTCGACTAATTATACGATGAATTCAGTACTCGTCAGTAGCTGCACGGAACGTTCACCAAGCGGATTATTCGCGTCGTGGTGCGATGTATTTTTACTCAAATCATATTCGGAGTCATCGTTCAAATTCCATCTATTATTTCCGTTATTGTTAAAGTCGGTTGATTTGTTTCTAGCTCGGAATATATCACGAGGCTCTAATCGATAAACTGACCACCGACGATGCGAATATCGCTGATTCGAAATTATGTTACGAATAATCGTAATCGCGCAATTAATTCAGGACGCGTCGATCGGGCGCGAAATTCTAAGAAACGTGACGAGTGTAATAAAAATAATACGCGAGGCATATAATGTGACACGTGTCGATACCGTGTGTTAAATTACCATTTCCGTGTGTCGCGATGTATGTCACCCTCACGAGCCATTGAGTATAGCAATAGGTCAATACAGGTCGCGAAAATCGTTTATACGAGCTGCGTTAATTTAATTAGTCCTGCAAATATGACGACGATTGCTACGTGTTGCTTGACGCGACACGTTTATTAATACGTTTGAAATATTTGTACATAAATTTTCGCGTGTATCGGACTAAATTTATCGTTTAATCGGGTTTACCCGTTTTTTTTTATCGACCGGATCCTTCCTCTGTCGTTTCGAGTGAAGCATGTTCAGCCGGCTTTCCTTTGACGGATGAAATTAAGTACGAACAACGATGTATAGTACGAGGAAAAAATGTCATACTGCGCATCGCAACAGTCTAAATCTGCACGTACAAAATATGCTATATGAATTTTAAATACGATTAATAGAAGACGATTTTTTAACATCAAGCCCTGTCACGCTGCGCGTCGCGCAGATTAATATATATCAGTTTACTTTTACAGTTATACACGCATCGAACAAAATTTCTGCCCAGTTGATGTTTACCTTAAGATTAATCAGATAATAAGAATTAATTTAACAGTATTCCCGACATCCGTATTTTTTATATTCGACCCGCTGAAACGTTTTTACGCGGTATCGACATTCGGTACGCAGTTTTGAGTTCATTAAGCTATTGTTCCGATATTTCACCAAAGAAATGCCAATTGCAAATTATCGCGAACGATCGCGTTATCACCCAGCGCTGGGTAAATCGTACGATCGCGTAGAAAATTCGATTAGGTCGACGTCATATCGAAAGGCAAACGGCTGGGAATGATATGTTGCACAAACGAACCGCTCACACATTCGACGGTTCTATTAAAACTAGTGGAAACACACGCGGTCCGATAAACTTTAGAAGGGAGCAAAAATGCTGCCGGAGGTTTCGACCGATCAAATCGATAATCACCGGCACTGCATTGAAAGGCAAATTAATAGTCGACAGGGGGTGAGATGTACACGAACGAGAGAAACGGGGCAACTATTAACCCCTTGCTTTCCATACTCTGGCAGTAGGTCGACAGTCACTTCCGCTGGTTTTTTTCATGCAATTGAGTAGAACGATGAAACGCGAGGCAGACACAGGAATCTGCATAAATCAATGTAATCGAGAAAAGATATAAGACGTTTGTGCTATTTGCAGAAGGAGAACGGACGAGATATCTACATATTTTTGAGTTATCAATGACGTAAAGTCATCAATCTTATTTTAATCACAGACATCAATATATATTTATGCGTATATATTGATATAAAACGGCATTCGTATAAAAATGATCCAAACGTTGAATCGCGCTGGCGCGATTGCACACGTAGCGTGATGCGTCTCGTTTCAATTTTCCTTTTTCAATTATCACGCGACAAGATACTGCAGTGCGATTCTTAGGCGTCGTCTTCTGACTAGTACCGACTCACTAGAACCGTTCTATATAATGCTATATCGCGTAATCGCGTATTATCTTATCATCGCGTCTTCTATTTCTATTTCCTCCAAACACGCGCGGCAATCGTATTTTAAACATTCTCTTGCGGCCGGCATAAAAAGCAGATATGATCACAGAATGAAAATGTAGATGAAGGACGTTGAGAGGCGAAATAAATTTTGCAAAACACATTCGTTCGCGTTACTCGCGCGAGGGTTGCTCTTTCGATCGCCGGTCACGCGGAGGCGAGGAAGTGGAGCAAGTAGTGCAGGCGCGCGGGTGGTCCGACTTTTTCGCGATCACCCCGCTCGCCCTCTCCTCTTTCTTCTTCCCTTCCTCTCTATCCGTCGTTCTCTCTCTCTCTCTCTCTTCCTCTCACGCTCTATTTTTCTCTCTATTACACCTCTATCTCCGTTCCGTTCCGCCGTTCGCGCTAACGTTAGTGCTAGCAGCTAGCGCTACCCGCTAGCGAGCGAGCGAGCAGGCGAGCAGACCGCCACCGGAGGCGGGTACGCGCTCGTGACGTTCCCCTCCGCCCCTTGGCGGCTGATACCTCGAGTGGGGACGACGCAAGCGCGATATTCTCTTCCACCTCCGTCGCACTGATACCGCCGTTCCCCGCCACCTCCACCACCGCCGCCGCCGTCACCGCCGCCGTTGCCGCCGCCGATGCTGCTGCCGCCGCCGCCACATGCCCCTTTCCCCGCGGCGCCCCTTCCCCCCGCCCCGCTCCAAGAGCGCAGTGTCGCGTCGAACCTCTCGCAGAGCGCGTCGCACGTCCGAGTACCGGCCGCCGCCCGTCATCAGTAGTCGCCGTACCGCGCAGCCACGTAACCTCTCACCTTCTCCTTAGTTTTTAGTAGTCGGTAGTGTGAGGAGAGTGCGGAGAGAGGAAGAGAGCGAGCGAGAGAGAAAGAGGAGAAAGTAATTCGCGAAGGGAGACGAGGCAAGAGTAACACCAGAGTCGGAGAGAGCAAGCGAGAGGTCGACAGCCTTTTTTCCTCGTGTGCTCTATTAGTCGTCGTCATCATCCTCGTCCTCCTCGTCGTTGTCGTCATCCACGCCGCCGCCGTTGTCGTCGTCATCGTCATCGTCGTGATTCGGCGCGACAAGCGCGGGTATCCTGACCTTTAAACCCGTACGCACGCCTTCCTCGCCGTCGATAATCGCGCTCCTGTCGTAGTGCCGCGCGATCATCACTGTACGCGCCACCCTCCGTGATTGTGGAGTGACTGAGGGGTAGAAAGGGCGAAAGGGAGAGAGCGAGTGAACAAGAGAGAGGGAAGGAGATAGAGGGAGAGAGAGAGAGACGGAGGGAAAGTAGCCGCACGAGGAAGCTCCGAAACGCAAATCGGAGCACCGGTGACGAGTAAGTTCCGGGGGAAGTCTCGCGCGCGTCGTGAAACCACCCCCTCGCACGTCACGAGTATCGTCACGACGACGCTCGCCGCTGCCGTCGGCGACGAGATCAGCACCGACGACGACACCGTCCGCGACAGTAGCAACAACAACAACAACAACATCAATAACAACAACCACCACTACCACCAGCAGCAGCACCACTACCGCCACCCCGGACGGATACGCGAGCAGACTCGGCGAACGCGGTCGCTTCCACCCCGGGCACGCGAAAGCCTCGCGACGACGACGACAAATAATCGTGCGCCGCGCGTCGCTATGGAGTCCCAGAACCAGGAGATCGTAGCGAGTGGCTCGCCCGCCGAGGTGCCGAACGATCCAGGGTACGGAGAAAGAGGGAAAATAGGGGTGTGCGAGAGGCTGTCACCGTCCACCACGTGAACGGCGGCTCGACTCCGTTTACAACCCCCAGGCAACCCCGAAACGTTCCACCACATCGACCATCAACGATCGACCACACGAGGGAGGGAGGGAGAACGAGTGAGAGGGAGAGAAAGAGAGATAGAGTGAAAGAGGGAGCGAAAAAGAGAGAGAGAGAGAGAGAGAGAGCATGGGTGCAAGAGAGAAAATGTATGTATGCGTAGATGCGTGGGAGAGTGTGAAAGGAGAAAAAGGATCGGGTGAAGGGGCGGGAAGGAGAAAATGGAGCGCTTTCGTTCTCAGTGCGTTGATATGATGTCGCGCGGCGATCGCTCGTCCTCGGAAAAGCTTGTGTTTCCTGTTTCCCTGCTCCGTGCCAGTGCCGGTTATAATGTCGATCGCGATTCCCAAGCGGGTCGGGCCTCTTCGCCGTGGTCTCGGCCTGAGCGGGTGCCGTTGACGACGAGAATGCGATTGCCGCCATGGAGCTCGCGACACGCATGGTGTTTATGTTTGCCGGGCGCGTGAATATGCGTGCCTCTCCTCGGACCGGTGGCGCCTTCTTTCAGCGTCTGATACCCCCTCGCGCCGGCGGGGGCGGGTGTGGGGGTGGGGGAGAGGGTCGGATGAATGNGGAGAGGGTCGGATGAATGGGAAGAAGGAGGGAGGACGAGGAGGAGGACGCCGCCACCTTCGAATCCGCCGCCAGCCGCCTACGGCCGCCGGCTGTACTTCGCAGCGTCGAAAGAACGCGAAAATCTCGGAATACCACACGTGAAGACCGCGCCTCGCGATGGCCACGTGGTGGACCGACTCTTCCGGCGGCGAGATCACGCGTGGTCATGTCACGTGATTCTCGCTCCGAGGAAACAGAGGCGCGGTGGACGCACCTCGCGGAAGAGAGAGAGAGAGAGAGAAAGAGGGAGGTGCAATGGTGATTTCGCGTCTCGGGTTTTGGCATTCGTCTTATCGATCGAACGATCGATTGATAGCCAGCTAGTCGATTTCACATTCATCCGGTATATTTGAGGTTTGGTGGAGGACACGCGACGATTTCGTTCAGCTTCGTTTGTGTTTGACGAATTGATTACATCATGTCGCTGACTAAGGCGATAGCGAGGTATCGAATCGATTCCATCCCGCTGGATTGTTTGTGTCTGGATTTAACGTTCGTCCGACGAGAGCTCCGCTGTTTGAAGTAATACGTGAGGATTTTGCCCACCTTCAGTTGTGCACGATAAACTGATTAGATCGTTGATTATGACGACCGCGGAATACCGAGCCGATTCCGAATGATATTCGCTAGGTCGCGCAGTGGTCGATTTAATGTCCATCCAATACGTGGTATATTCGATGTTCGGTAAAACGCGCAACGGTCTCGTCCCGGCGTTTTGTCCATGTTTGTAGGTGAACGCGTTATTGGCCGTCATTAGCGCGAGTTACCCAGTCGATTAGCACTCGTTAGATCGCTCTGTGTCAAATGCGATGTTCATTAGATGGTGTCCGAGTTTGGTCGACGGCATCGATTGACTCGTACTCTGAACTCGTACGCTGACGGTCGCGATGTAACGAAGGATATCGGTGTTCTTCTCCGGGGATCCTCTTACCACGTGCAACTGTCACGCGCTCGATCGTTTCTCGCAAGGAAAAATCGCGGATTCTCGAAGGTCGCGCGGTGAAAATCTGCCGTCTGATTTTTATCTTCGATGACACCGAGAAACTGCAATATTTTACGAATGCGTGTTTATGTTCTCTTGAATGACTCCGGAACATTTAGTGTATAAAAATATATATTTACACAGAAGATAAACATATCCTGAGTATATACTCTCGAATTTATCGAGCACTCCAATTTCTCGGAACAATATTTTTTTTAAGTCGACTTGATATATACAGGCGATTGATTTAGCTGATCATATCCACGTTGAAGCCGGAACTTGTTTGCGCGGTCCACGGTAGCTTCCGATACATGATTCATTGCAGACTGAGAACAAAATTCTTAAGCGAAACTCTCGGAGCGCATGCCTCCCGAATCGATATCGGATGTGTACGCCGTAGTATAAATATACTTAGAGATGATCCAAACGGAAATTGACAATACGGACGAACTGACAATACGACACAACGAATACGATATCGACAACTCTTTACGTGTTTAGGTTCTCGAATATACATTGGAATACTACATGGGTGTATCTCGATACTTTTCTCTAAAAAAACAAGCGCGTAAGCGTACAGACCAGATGTACATGTATTTTCTGCGCCGGTCTGTTCGGCACGTGCGACACTAAATAATATCGACTGAAATCGCAAGACGTCAAGGCAAAACATTACACAACAACGTCGGGATATCGAGAATCTCCATTAATCTCGGTCTTCCCGGAAATGCCTCTCTCTCTCTCTCTCTCTCTCTCTATCCGGAAAATGTAAATTCTCGATGACATTTGCGTTAAGAACAGTAAGTTGTTCGAAATGATTTGTGATGACATCCGTTCCAGAGTTGCTCAACTCTTGCGATGATTACCCGCTAGGAAACGGTAGCCCACTTTGATTTTTCCAATTGGGAGGATCTGGATGAATAGGTGGATAGAGGTATAGAGAGAGAGAGAGAGAGAGAGAGAGATAAAGAGAGCTATAGAGAGAAGGCGAGCGGTATGGCAGCGGGCGGAGGAAGGAGGGAGAGAGAGAGAGGGCGAGAGGGAACGCGTGGGAGGAAGATGGCTATATTGCGGCTCGGGAAAATCGATGTTCAAATGCGCCACCACGTGATTACGTCCACGTCCAAGCGGGGAGCGTTATCTCGCCGTGTAATAATGTGAAGCGCGATTATTTGCGACGACAACGACGACGACGATGATGATGAAGAGCAGCGCGCGAGCAGTCCCCGCGGAGTGGGGGCTCCCTCCGCGTGCGTGGCGGAAGGACGAAGGGGGAAGTCATGAATGAAAAGGGTGGGAGGTCGTTTCCTTATCGACGCACGCTGACGGATACTTAAGCCGGCTAATTAATGACGCGTACGTGGTTCAATTATGGTCGCCGATGGATAGGTCGGCGCGCGCGAGAAGTGCGCGATTCTCTTCCTCGGAGACCCGGCGATTACGCCGCGCCCGCCGCTGGCGATCTTCCCGATTGGATGGATTATTCGCGGACCGGTTCGCGGCCGATCTAAAAAGCCGTCGAAGCGCTTTTTATCGTCCGACGACCTTGATAGAGCGAGGTCTTCATCCGAAGCTCTTTATGGCGGCGGAGGCGGCGGAGGAGGATTGTCATAAAGTTTTTGAGCAAACGCACGTAGCTCCCTCGGCGCGGACCGGTAATTAGCAATCACGTGGATTCTCCATCGATCCTTTATGACGAAGTCGTAAAGCAGTTAGCAGGCGGAAAATCCGCCTCTCGGAGTGTGGTGATCGATAAGCGGCGCGTGTTCGCGCTAGGAACCTTCTCGACACGAGGCAGCGCTCCACACGAATGTAATTAATTCGGTCGTTAAAGCTTCGCTGGTTTTTGCGTAATAGCTGTTAGATTTGTGGACTTATGGGCTTCAGTTTTAGAACCTCGCGATCGAAATATGCGAGGGCCCCTCTCAGGCGTTGCTCGAAACGGTAAAACGGCGATCACGAGGCGTCTTCATATAGGTCAGTGTCGCTCGGGTCTGATTAGCATTCTCCATCGATTCGTTTCTTCCGTCGATTTTTCGCAGGTATAAGATAAATCGTGAGTCGGAGTCCTTCCCCCCAGCGACGTGAATTCAAGGTGGATGGAACCTCCCCTCGGAGTGTGTGTGTGTGTGAGAGAGAAAAGTAGCGAAAGGTCGGACGATCGACCGATCGGTGAGCGGCTGATCCGGCTGGAACCGCTCGCGAAGAAGAAGGCAAGGATACGGAGGCGCCGGTCCAAGGAGGAGGAGGCGTGTAGCTCGCGCGTTGTGTCGCCGTGATCACGGAAGATTCGTTCTTCGGGGCGCGTCGCGTGAAACGTGTTCGCGTGGCAAGAAGAGAACGGGTGTTGTTCGATTGTTGGTTGATGTGTGGTGACACCTGCCGCCGAGGGCGGGAGACTGCGCAGGGGGTTGCAAAAGTAGTAACCGGAAGTTACCCTCTGCCGGCAGTCTCTCCGCGTCCGCTTCCTCTTCCGCCAACGACCCGCTGCCGGACGGCGTGCCTGATGGAATCGTCTTTCTTTTCTAGGAAAATGTTCATCGGCGGCCTGTCTTGGCAAACCAGTCCAGGTATGTGGCAGACATGTAGTACGACGATCGAACGAGACCCTCCCCTCGTCGATCGACGATATCCCCTCGCGATCACGCGATATACATACCTATCTACCTACCTACCTACTATCTACCTACCTCTCAGCTAGCTCTCGCAACGCCGGCGACCGACGTCCGTCCGTCCGGCCGAAGACGAGTCCCGTTCGCGAGAGTCTTACCGTTGCGGACATTACCTCCTTCCGCGCGCCGCGTCTGCACGTCACGCTTATTATCCGCTGACTTGTGTACATCGACGCGTTTTTCTTTCGCGCAGTGCCGCCGCCAAGTATCGTTAACAAGTTGAAAAGCGGCTTCTTTACGGGGGGTATGTCATTACTGACCGGAATACGGGTAACGGATTTTCCACAATCATCGTGAATTCTTCCGTAGAGCGAAGTTCGCGAGGCTGTCGCGCCTTGCATGCATCCGCACCGCGTTTGTCGTTGTCGTCGAGTGTCTTGTCGATTGAGTTGATGAAATGGCATTTTGCTTACAAAACAAGAATGGCCGTTCGAGTATCGAACACTGAAAATGGTGCCGCGCTGGGAAAAATAATTTCGACTCTTCTCTGGAAAAAAAAAATATCGAGCAGTGCTACAAAATATTCGATATTGTTATCGTTTGATGCCGATCGCGGGAAATTTCGACGGCGCTTTAAGAGCATTTGCACTCACTGTTTTATAGTCCTACGTATTCCTCTGTGCCGCGACGGGAAAAGTGACGAAAAACGTCATCCATAAAAAGTTGGAAAGTATGCTTTCTGAAACTTTTAGAACTATCAAAATTTTATATTTTCCGCGTGAGTTTTACAACTCGGCGTGTGTGTGTATGTGTGTGTAACGTTATTTTGTGAGACGGAGAGCGTCGCCATGTATCATCTCTGGAAGGTGTCTTTTTGCTTAAACGCGCAAAAATATCACGTACCGAAAAATTGCGGAACTTAATGCCAAGTTTCTCGTTACACAACGCCACCCGCGTTTTTCGTCAATTTACGCAGCACCTTGTAAAGAACGAAAGATTACGTCCGTTGACACATTTCGCGGTTTCTCAAACAGTGACACATGGGAAGCTTCGTATTATCTCATACTTTCGCCACGTTCCTCTTTCCACAGCACAAAGCATTTTCGAAATCTCTCTTTAGCGTTTAAGAAGCGACGCAAGAACACGGTGACGGGAGAATCTGAACAGTTGAATTTCTGCAGTCCGCGCAAAACGTGGAGCATTTTCAGTAAAGAGAATTTCGCATTGTATGGAAAATAACGAAAATTGATAACCTTTATTACGCGACGTTACTCGTGTTTTTGCATTTTTCACAGCAGTGAGTTTTCAGAACTGATGATGATACGATCTACCGATACATTTCGACGTGTCGAATAACGTTACGTAGACAGCTTTTTGTATTCTTTCGTTGCGACGAAAACAAGGCGAGCGAAAGAGAATATATTTTCGCGTCGAGAGAGCGATACAAAAGTGACTTGGGGATCCGAATAATGGCTCCCGATTCCCCTCTTTCTGTTTCGTGATGTTACGGTAAACTTTATTATGTTGACGCAATAATGATACGCGATACACAGTCGCGTAATGATACCATGCGGAGGAAGCGCATTACGAAACGGACGAACGGAGATGCTCGGGGACGCGCGGTCGCATTTTCCAGAATGCTTATGACGGTCGTGCATTCTCGTCGGCTTTTTCGCGATATCTAATCGGGTCGGCTTGATGATGCTCATGCACGCGTGCTAATCCTAATCACCCCTCGCTGCTACCTGCATTCGCGCTGCGTTCACGAAAGATGTTGCTGACGACCTCAGTAGTATTCGTTCCTACACTTTGCCGTGACGGCACATCGCATTTTATACGTGCCGCGGCAATCCACCGGATCAAATTGCTATGGAAATTCGCGAAGACGATTATTTCACGGTAAATATGCTCGCAGTAATCATAATATATCAGTCCTATTCGTTGATACTTCGTCAAAATATCACGAAGAATTATGATGATAAATAATGAACATGATTTAATAAAATCGATAGTACTATTTTCGTTATATTTATTACTTTTATCGCTGTTTCTCATTGTTATTCTCATTATTATTCTATCTATCTTTATTCGCGAGACATTTCTGTTATATCGCAGTACACAATATACGGCTTATATAGTATCTCTTAGAGATACACTCGTATACAATACGCGATGTCGTCCTCTAAAAGACGCGATTACGTATACGGCGGTTGGATTTTGTAGCAACGGTTCTTCCTCAGCATTGAGTTCTTTCCGAGCAGAGAGAGAGAGAGAGAGAGAGGTTCTCGCCTGAAAGAATACGAGGAGCGAGCTCATTAGCGTTATTTGCTGTTGTTGCGTAAGTCATACCTCCATCTCACTCGTTTCTCGCCGCTTCCTCGCTCGCTTTTCACGCCACAACCTCGCTCTTTCTCCGAGCGAGCCCGTCTGCGTAGGTTGTAAACGAATAACTTTTATCAACTTTGCCGGCGGCGTACAGGACGTCGGTACACGTAACTTTTCGAGCGAAATACGGGAGGGGGG